TTTTACAGGAGCGAGTCCGGCCGAGAAAGCACCAGAGGTGTAACTATGGTGTATGAGACACCATCTTTTACGTTGCCTCTTATTTTAGATTATACAATGTATCTTGTGCCAACTTAGGACATATCTTTTTGTGAAGCATGTAAACTCTAATCCTTTTTATTAAAAGTATTTATATGACCAAGAGGATTATGTCTGTCCCTCTTGATTTATGATCTAATTTGAATATCATGACATGAGGATCCTGTCTGTCCCTCATAGTTCTAATTGCTTTTTGAGATATTTTAAGACCTGTGGTATATTGTCTTGGATGTATCATGGTAAGAAAATTTTCTACCATGATAATGGTTTTAATAATTTGTGAAAAATCGGTTTGTATTTTTGAGGATGTTACATTTAGAACCTAGTGAATTTGAGATTATCTAAAGTGATAATTAACAATTATCACTTGATTGTATAAATTGAGTGTTGCTTAAGCTACCTCATGCGTATAGAATGTGTGAAGCTAACATTGAGCCATGATAATCCATTTGTGTGATAAAGGGTTGAGGTAACAGAATAATTTACACTATTTGATTATATTGCTTAACTATCTGTGAGTAGATATGTTAAATTTATAACTTGAGATTTGATAACCTTGCATATTATGAAATATGGTTTTGTGCATGAAAAACTATTTGCAAACGATGAGAATGGTGAAAATTTATATGAACTGGTTGAGAAATTTGAAATGTATATGTGTTATATATGATGAGTGTAAGCATGATTTTGTTAAGGGGTAGGAGTTCACCCGTAGGAAGGAGTAGTGGAAGTCCATATGGCATGTTTCTCCTTAGTATCTAGTGAGGCATGGTGTTGGAGATTTTCTCCTTAGTATCTAAGCAGGATATAGTGTTGGAGAGTAATGCTCCTTAGCAAAAGTGATGCGGTGCTAGAGTAACAACACCGTTATTCATGTGTGATGAGGGGAAACCATAGTCCGAAAGTGGGATAGGACGCCTTTGGCCAGGTGATCCTACTATCGAAGGTGAGCTCAGACCATTGTGAAAGTGCACTTGGTTCAAGAGCCTAAAGTTTCAGTTGGAGTGATATGGAGGCTCGCATGATAAAATGATCATACTAGTGGTAAATGATTTGTGTTGATAAAAAAGAGTAATGTTATGACATGCTAACGTATATTTTGGTGCTTAATAGCTTTACTCCCTTATAGTTGTGCATATTAATTGATAGTAGTGAATTATTCTATTATTAAGATATTTATCTTACCCCGTGGTTATATTTTACAGGTGAGGGCTCTGGTAGGGGCAAGGGGAAGGAAGGGGCAATTGAAGAGTGAAGAGCATTGTTGTATAGCTCTTCCCTTTCCTCTTTTTAGGGTATTGTAACGAATATTGCCATTATATTATGCCAACTTAGGAACATAACATTATTTTAGTTATCGCTTGTATGAATTTGTGATAAGTGTGTGTGCCTTAGTCCAACGTTTATGTTGTGGATTAAGTGTGTGTACTTGGCCAAGTTATAATTACAAGTGATATATTTGAAGTGATGCCAAAATGACTAAGTTGATATATGTGCTAAATTTTATCCACCCTTTTGTATTATTGTCAAATGGAGGTTTGATGGTTATTTTGGGTATGAATGCTTATTTGTGTGATATGATTGATTTGTCATGTTGTATGTGGTTCATCTGAGGTGGCCAAGGTGTTTTCGGGGTTAATAGCATTTAGTATAGTGGGTCGGACACCATTGAATCTGTTTTGAAGTGAAAATGAACCATTTTAGATTCGAGTGTCCATCTTTTTAATGAACAATCATTTGAGTGTGAGACTTGTGCCATTAACTAGAGGGCTCAAAGAGCTTCGTGTGAACACTTGAATCGCTTAAATCAGACATCGGATGGCAAAACGACGCACTCTAAAAGTTTTGGAGTGCCGTTTGCTATCATGACGATAGATGCGCGCTGCGGCGCAAGTGTCTTCCAAGGGATTTGTCCCCCTATGCCATCCACCGTGATGGATGTGACTTGTGCCATGGCGATAGACTAGAAATTTTTAGAAAATGGCTTCAGTTTGTTTTGAAGTGTTGTTTGATTTCCATGCTTCCGTATTTATATTTAATTGATTTTCAACTATGGTTTGAGCTCAAGCAACATTTTAAAAAGAGTTTTTTTGGAATCCCATTATTTTAACTTATTATCTTTTAAACCATTAAGTTGTGATAACTTTTATTTGGAATTTTATTTAATTTTGTTTATCATAACAATGTGTAAGAGTGTTGTCCTAATAATGTCAAGGGAGACATTACAAGTTGAGCAAGAAAAAACTATTGAAACAAAAATCATACATTTTATTTTACAATTGGGTTCTTATGCTCTTCATCCAGTGTAGTAGAATTAACCAACTGTAACCTCTAATAAGATTCCATAACTCTTCAACTTGATTTCATTGTTTCCTAAACTGGTCAAACAAAGCTCACTCAATGATCACAAAACCTACTAAACAATTTTTAAAATAAAACATCCGTGGAAAAGAGAATGTTGATGGGTAAAGAATCAATGATAGTTCTAAAATGAAACATTTGTGCATACGAGGTGAACACGAACAACATCATCTCAAACACCTCCTTGAAGACTTTTAAGGGGAGTAAATCGAAAAAACAGAGGGAACCAAGAGGACTATTGGAAGAACTATTAGGAATAGGGCATGGCATAAATGAAGCTGGAGAGATGATAGAAATAAATACTCCCATTTGAAGTGAGAATCAGCAAGAGGATTGATGAAAATAAGGAAGATATAAGAAATGACACAAGAATAAGTTGAGTAAACCAATTGCGTATGAGAATTAAATTAAGACCAAAGTAAATTGACCAATAGAATTGAATAAGATCTAACCAATCAAAGTCCTTCTATAAGATTTGTAATATATATTGATGATTGATTAGAATTAGTCATTGAATTGATCAAGATATTGGTTTGAAAAAGAATGGATCAAACTATGGTTAAATTAATCTCAATCTAGTTATGACAAACATAATATAGCTTATATTAAAAGATAACAAAAATAGTCATATATAACTCTAAAAAGAGTAATATTTAATTAAAAAGATATTAATCTGCAAATAAATATGGAACGTTGGTATACAAACCATATATAATTGTTGGCAAAAATACCATATATAATCTAACAAAATAGAGTTGCCAAAGCACAAATATGACATACTATTGATTTTTAAAAAAATCAAAATAATATCGTTTCATGTTTAGGAATGGGAGGAAAAAAATAGGGTTAAAATACAAATTTAACCTCAAAATTTCCACACAAGCGCACCCTGTATCTTCAAGTTTTTTTGGTGCAATGTCATCCCAACATCTTCTAATTTGGTACATTGTCGCCCCACTGTTAGGTTTGACTTTGTTAATTGTTGATTTGATCGTTGATTTCAATTTGGCAACCACATGGTTTTTAAAATTAAAAATTAAAAAAACTAGACTTATGTCTAGTCAAAGTCTCTCGTCTTCTTCACTTTTCCTTCCCATATCCCCTTCTTTGATTAAACCAGGCCAGCCCCTTTCCCTTTCCCTATCTCTATCAACCTTCTGCTTCCTTCTCCTTTGAGTGATCCCATCATAGCAAACCCCCTTCTCCCTTTCTCATCTTTGTTGGCCTTCTCCTTCCTCCTCTTCTCTGATCGATCCCATTGAACTAGATTCTAATGATTATTGCTAACTAAAATGGATGAAATAAATATTTTGGTTGTTAGATTTTGTTCCTAGAATAACAGGAACTGCTTGTTAGGTCATTGGATTCAAATTTCTTTGATTTACATAAACCCTAAGATCTTTGATTAAAAAATTGGGTTGTAGGATGTTATAATTGTTATTATTTAAGTTGTTGAAAGCTAAACAGAGTTAATGAAAATTAATAAATCCATTGGATTTGAGATTTTGCTAATTGTTGGGAATATTAGTGTTTAAAGTGTGTTTAATTGGGATGAGTCATTTTCTAATTATCATAGTAGTTTATGATTAATATGGTTAAGTTTATGGGGTAATTGGGAGATTTCATAGTTTACTAGTGATGAGGGTGAAGATGAGGGAGGGAAGGAGAAAGGGCACATGAAGAGTTCTAATTCTAGGTGGATGAGAAGAATCTAACATGGCATGAGAAAGAAGGTAATGTGGACGTCAACGTGCTATTTTAGAAAGCAAATAATTGTCAAATTATCTAACTTAATGGTCAACACAATCAAATTCTAATAATGAAGCAATATTGCACCAAATTGAAAAATGTTGGGGGTGAAATTGTGCAATAAAAAAAAAGAATATGGGATGCATTTGCAAGGAAATTTTGAGAGTAAATTTATACTTTAATCCGAAAAATATACAATCTAACTCATTGATCAATTCAAAATTTTTAAACTTAGATAAGTGTAGTTCACTAATTTGACTAGTCAAATTTGAATTGGGCTTTAATACCATGCTTTTCAAGAATATATAAGAATCTAACTAAACATAAGCGTAAAATATGAGGATAAATATATTGGGGTTGTTTGTCATTATTTTTATTTTATTATTTTGAGAACTAGTGTTTTATAGAATATGTTTTAAAAATAAAAAAATAAAAAAAGGTAATTTTTTTCACCCTCCCTTATTCTTCAGAACAATAATTACAGAACATCTAAAAGTTGTTTTCATTTTTTTATTTTCTAGAATAATATTTTATTTTTTTATTTTTTAAAACACTTTTTAAAAATGCATTACTGAACAGATTTTTTTGTTCTCTTGTTTTAGAGAACAAAAAACTATTTTCAAAATAGGTTTTTAAATAAATCTATTAATTTCTCCTCTAATAAAATTGATAAGAATAGTGTTTTTGGTTTTTGTGTTTTTTTTCACAGTGCACTAAATTAGCATAAGCGCTCTATTAAAAAAATATTCTACCCAAAAAAAAGAAAATTTGCATAAGCGCGTGGCGCCCTAGCCGGCTAGACCTGCTGGGCTTATAAGAAGTGACTTCACGGTTCACGATTCACGCTGCCAAATTTCGTTAGCGCTCCTGAATAATCGTTACTCAACGACTACTCAGTTATCAAGATTTCCGCACTTCGATTCTCTCTATGGCGGCTCAAGAAGAACAAGATTCGCCTGCAATCGACTCAATTGCCAAGCAAGACGATGAAGTCCAGAGCATCATTGAAGAAACGCAACAGGAGGTTTGTGCTTCCGCTGCCGAAGTAGGCAAGAATTTGTTTGCTTCAAACGACAAGTTTGATGCATGTGTACTGGGGTTTGGTCCTTCTTGGTGTGACGGAAAAGTTGAAGATTTTTCAAGACGTCAGAATATGGTCGAAGGAGTACTATTAGCAGAAAAGCGCGATAATAAATTCCAGAGCACTATTGAACAGACGCAAGGAGAAGTTCATCCTTCCGAAGTAGGCCAGAAGTCGTTTGTTTCTTCAAACAACAAGACTGTTGCATCATCTGAGAAGCTTGAACTTCAAAAGAGAACTAGGAACAATGATGGCATAAAAGAGAGTTATTTCTTGGAACAACACATGGATGGGTCTGGAACCCAAGAATGTAGAATGCTCGCTGAGAAGGCCCCCACAGAGCACAGTTCCACACCTATGGTAAACGAAGTTTTGGCAACAGAGTATGCCTTGCAAGTAAAAAAGAAATTACTGCTTGAGGAGCTAGAAGCTGTTTTGCGGCCGGAAGCTGACGTTGCTGGTGAGAAGTTACCTGGTTGCACACTGATACAAGAAGACTTTACAATTCCACGTTCATTAGGAATTGAAGTTATTGATGACACAGCGTTGATTGAGACCGTTCCTGGTCCTGCAATAGGAAGGAAAATGGGTGTTTCGGGAAATAGGAAATGTACAGGAAAGGATGCGATAAAAGACATAGATGCAAATGGTAAAAGATCAAGAAGAAAAGCAAAAGGATCAAAGAATGATTTGGGGATGGATGGAAAACCCAAGAGTATCACTCGAGTGGAAGAAGCTCAAAATCCTTCTGGAGATAGGAAGGAAGGAGCCAAGAGAAAATACTCAAGAAAGGAGATTGAGGCTGTGAGGTTTGTAAATATGGCAGCACAGCGGGTATTTTGGAAAGCAATATACAGTGGGTTTGACATTGTTGTGGCAAATGAGTATGACAGCTTGGTGAGCAGTGAGCATCAGAAGAATATTCGTTTGAACTATGATTCTCAGCAATGCCTTGCGAAGAAGAAAGAAACACCAGCAATTCTCAGTGAGTATTCTTGTTTGATTCAAATTTGTCATCTTTTGTGTTTTATGCGGATTTTGTTCATTATATATGTAAGTTTCTGAATCATGTACCAGTACACTGGCAACAGGATTTGTTAAGTAACAACTCTGTAAGTGTCTTATTAATTTCAAGAATAGAAGGAAAATGCAAAACATCCGTTGACTAGTAATAAGAGTTTAAGACTATTGAGTTAGGGCTTGATCGTTGTCATGATCCATCTGTGCTTTATTAGGTCTAATAGCTTATTGGCATCTTATTGAATCCTCTGTTTCATGATGAATGATCAGATTTGACGATGTAGTACATAAACTTTTTCTGCTCTACCATGTATCACTATTTTCTAGCATTGCTCAACGTGAATCAACCTGCGCAGTGAACAATATACCTATAACTCAGTCACTTCATGTCTGATCAGGTCTCTCAAAGTGTTTTCAAAGACCCTAAACCTATGTAGTCTGCTTTAAGGGGTTGTGGATGTAAATGTTTTACTAGTATTGTAGCTGTTTTGGAATCAATAAAAGGGGTCTATGCAAGCAAACGTGAACTGCAATTCCTTACCAGTGTGGATGGATATCTAAAAATTTTAATCATTTTGATTGGGCATGCTTTTTCTTAGATTTATTTGACGTAGTTGGGATGTGACCTTAAAGATTTGTTTTTTTTTTTTGGCCATTGACTTTTAATAATATTTATTCACTAGAAGAAGGTTTTGTTCATGTTTCCTGATCTCAAAAGGTAGCGATGGGAATGTCATTCATAATATGTATCAGGTGTCAACAGAAAACTTTAGCGCAGGACTTGTATTAGTTATATTCATATGGCCTTTAGATAGAGAATGGCTGTATTGATGTCCAAAAATGGGAAGTTCTACCTAGGTCATTGTCATTATGAAGAATTCCTTGCTTAATGCAGTATTTGTGCCAAACGGGTATATATGGAATATAACCCATAGATGATCTTGAAAATGTTCTAGTGCTATCTATATATTGATATGTATATTTTTCCTGGCTTATTTATTGGTATGAATAGTTAATAGCCAATATTGTTTTTATGCAGAATCTTTTATGTTACTCATCCATTTTAAATTGATCAAGGGAGATAATATAGGGAGAATGACAAATAAGGACCTTGTAAGAATATTAATGTTAAATTAGGATTTTTTGACATTGACGTTTCTAAATTTCAGTAATCCTTCTACCATATTTCAGTACTAAAGTTTCTAATTTAACATTAATGTTCTTATAAGGTCCTTACTTATCACTCTTCCTAAAATATATCTTGTTCTAAGCAACCCACTCTCCTAGTTGACCATTAACTTGAGTAAATTTGCAGTATTATGGCTGTTCAGTGGTTGAATGCGCCATAGTTTAGTTTGTAATGGTAAAAAACCCTTGATTATGAAAGCTGTTGTTTCATTTGTTCGTTCTCTCAACATGCTTTCCCCTTTCTTGTTCAGTTCATTGGATTATAATTTGAATGAACGTACAACTGTTAATTGAATTTATGCTCATTTCCCCCAATTTCAGAATAGTTATAATAATTTACCCAGTAATTATTTCTGATTTTTACTCACCTATGGCCATAATTTTTTTCCTTTGTTTTTTTGGTAAAATTTTTTTTTGGGGTTGGGAGGTGAGTTTTCTGTTTATTTTCTTCTGCGAAAATAGCAAGATCTCTTTTTCATGAAGCCTTCACACAAATTATAATTTTCCCCCTTGAGCCACCTGTTTTCTCTATGCTGACTGGTTCAGATTGTGTCAATTTGATGTTTCGAACTTCTGTTATGGACAGGTGTGGGTGCTGCTAATGGAAGATGGAGATATATGAATGTCTATGTGCATTGAGGAAAGAGCAAAAGGAACCTGGGAATGATATAATCTGCAGCATTAGTTGACTAGTTTTCAATTACTTAGGCGCTGACTGTTGCGACGTGCGTGATTTCTTGTATAAAGTCCTTGTATATGAAAAATCATATGCAAAATACTAGTATTGTTTTGTCATACGCTAATGGGGACGATTGGATGTTTACATTCATCATTGTACATCAAAAGTTTTATGGTTCACTGTGTTACAATTAGAACTTAAATTTCTTGTCCACATTGTTCTTGTCTGAGAAGGACATTTGTGACCTGGCTGCTGTTGCTTTTTATCAAAGATTCCGTTTAGATACATACTCATTCTCAAACGCTTAATGATTTTCTATTCGTTAATGCTAATTCTGAAAGTTTTGAAATTGTTTTCTGGTGCAGTGTGTTCTGAAAATGTGGGTAATGAATTGCCACAAATAAACAGTATTGAAAATGTGAATCCTATGCACCCTTCGTGTAGCAATAATCTGGATGTGGAGAATGGGGGCACAGTTTCTGAAGGAGAGTGCTATGAAGATGAAGAAAGTGACAGTGATTATGATAGCATTCAGAAACCCGCCTTTGTGGTTGATGGAGAACCAAATTTTGATTTGGGCCCACCAGAGGATGGATGGGAATATCTTAGGCGTGTCAGGTATTATTCTGATTGTTAGCAGCTGATTGCTGGTTACTTGATGCGCTCATACTCTGGTTATATTTCTATCTCTTTTACTGTTCTACTCTTCAAATATTGATTATAAAAAATATTGGGGACTCTTGACGCTTTAAAGGCTTTGAGAATATACTCCACAGTCCATTCCCATCATTATTTGGGGTTTTCATTGACGGGGGTAGAGTAGACCTTTTATTGTCATTAAAATCCTGTTCTTTGACATGCAGTGATTACTTTTACAAAGTAAGAGAAGGTTTGTTCTTATAAAACGATGGATAAAAAATAAAATTATGGTGAAAGGGAAGGCTTGCACTATTTCGAACTTTATGCATGGTATGGCAGCATTGTGCTTTGCATTTTTATTTATGATGCTTAAAAATAAAGATGAACCATGAATAAACTCCTAAAAGATCATAAATGATAATCAAGACTCCTTAACAATAATAATTTGTGACTCCCAGAAAGAAAGAGACTCCTATTCCTTTTTGGATTTTGATGAGATTCTCAGCACACTCTAAAGATGAAGTTTCTTCAAGTGGCTATTTGTAACAACAAATCGTACAGAGCTCAATGATAGAAACTATACAGCAAAATTCTTCCTAGGACAAAGCTCACACCATGTTGACACTTTATAGATATAAGGTGACCAAATAGACCTTGAATAATGAGCAAGTAGAATTCATCATTAAAAACAACCATGTTCATCTAGAGTAATTAGTGACGAAGGTATCAAATTAGCAAGTACAACCTGTCCATGTGAGCAAACGTAAGATTGAGCTCCTTTGCCACATTGTTTAGGAATTGAAACATGAATGTTTACCAAACACATATAATTGAGAGTCTGTCAGTAACATGACTAATCATGTTCCAAGAAACTCCGTTTGATGTTTATTAATCAACAGACAGTCGATGTTTGGACCAAAGCTGTTTCATGAATGTAGTTTGATGTTCACTTATTCAAGCTGTGTATGATTGACATATGTGATGGGGGGGGGAGTGTAGAAGTACTAGATGGCCTTTTTCTTTTGCGTTTTTTTTTCTAAAATTATTATTGGATATTGTAATTGTAGATAGGCCTATTTTCTCAAGGGCAGTTTTTTACACTTCCCTAGATTCTAAAGTAGGCCTATTTCAGAATTGTGCAAATTACATAGGTATTAAGCTTATGAGTTATGCAATAAAATTGTGGGGAAGAGTGATTGAACATAGGTTGAGGTTGGAGTTTGGTATTTTTGAGAATGGAACTCAAACTGATATATTTTGGTACTAAGGATAAACTAATACAAATCCCCTTCAATAGAGCAGGAAGAGGAGTTCCAGTACAAAATCGACTGGCTAATCCTGATACAATGCAGCAAAATAAGATGAACAGTAACTAAGGCAAGAGAAAAGACACTTCCCTGACTTTTGAGAGGTCAGAGGCTCTCCCAAAACTCCCAACATCCAATCTGCCTCTCGATAGGGCACATGACCCTAGAAAAATAACTCTGACCCTCTCCCCTTGGGCTGGCATCATGTTTTGGGCCCTCTTGGCCCTATCCAGGTGGCTGTGCAGTATTAGTTCTCGTCTCAGTATTAGTTCTAGTCTTCTTCCTCCTGTACACATGGCCCAACTTACTAGCAGGTTCATTTACCCCCCAAAAAAGATTCACCTTGTCTTCAAGGGGAAAGTGTGGGAATTGCTGTTGAATTGTTGCCATATCCTCCATAGAGTTGTCACAATCGGGTAAATTCTGCCATTTCACCAGAAATTGATAGCTGTCATCAGTCATTTTGTGTATCTTAGTAATATTTTCAGGCACTCCCTGTAGTTCATTGTCTTTCGAGAGAAAAGAGGGCAATAGTTGAGCTGGTTCATGTTAGGTGTTTGTAATTGTAGAATAGATGGTAGAAGAAGATAGGTAGAGAGAAGAACAGAGAGGGGTTGAGAGAAGAAGAGAGATGAGAGGTTGGAGAAGAGGAGAGAAAAGAGGGATGAGAACTTCTGAATAATCCAAAACTCTATTGATCAACAACCATAATACAATTGAATATAAAAGTATTTATATGATTTTTAAATACCCCCAACGGCTAGTAATTAATGGTTATAACTAACTAATGGATGTCAGAATTATAAAAACTTAACAATACCCCCCTAAAAGAGATCCTTGCCCTCAAGGATAAGTGATAACAAAGTTAGAAAACTTTTGTTGAAATTGGTACAAAGGCATCCAAGATGCTTCTTCATCCGGCAATTGTTTCCATTTGACTAGAATTTCAATAATAATTCATCCCTTCTTGCAACTCTTTTCTGTAAAATTTGTTCAGGTTCAATTGAGGCTGGAATTTTTGGCCAGTCTAGTGGAGGGTGTCTTTGCTTCACCTTAGGATTTGGACACAACTTCAACAACGACACATGGAAGGTAGGATGAACTGTAGAGTCAGGTGGTAAGTCAAGTTTGTAAGCAATAGCCCCTATTCTTTCCAGCAACTTGTAAGTCCTAAAAAATTGTGGTGCTAATTTTTGTGAGCTCCTAGCAGCAACAGATAGTGTCCTATTGGGTTGTAACTTGAGAAAAACTCATTGTCCCACCATAAATTTGTGATCAGATCTATGAGCATCAGCCCGTTGCTTCATCATATTAGCGAAATGGTGCAAATGATGCTTTAAAACCCTTATCGTCTTTTCCCTTGCTGTGAAGGACCTGTCTAACACATCTAGAACAAAATTGTGATGTAAATAAGGATAATGTTGAGGAAGAGCCTTACCATATAAAAGTTCAAATGGAGTGGTCTTAGTTGTTGTATGAAAGGTAGTATTATACCACCATTCAGCTTGTGACAGCCATCTACTTCATTCCTTGGATTGCTCACAACACATACACCTTAAATGGGTTTCTAAACACCTATTAAGAACTTTGGATTGGCCATCCGTTTGAGGATGATAGGCAGTAGAGAGATGTTGAACACCTAAAATTTGCAAAAATTCTTTCCAAAATCCACTCACATAAATTGGATCATGGTCAGATATAATTTCAGCAAGAGCACCATGCAATTTATAAACACAATCCATAAAAATTTGTGCTAAAGAAGATGCAGAATAAGGATGAGTCAAAGGAATAAAATGCACATACTTACTCATCCTATCGGTTAAAACCCAAATTGTGTCTTTACCATGAGATTTAGGAAGTCCCTCAATAAAGTCCATATTAATGCTTATCTAAATTCGACTAGGTATAGATAGAGGTTGTAACAGCCTCGGGGATGAAATAGCTTCATAGTTACATCGTGCACAAGTATCACATTGTTTGATGAAATCTGAAACATCATTGATAAGCTTTTTCCAGCAATTAATTTTTCAATGGCATCCTTTTGTGCAGCTGAATATCTGTAAGGCTTAAGATTTATTGGGTTTGTGCCCTTCTAGAGAATAATGGGATGATTATGACCTTCCCTAAATGGTGGTAACCCCTTAGGTTCATTGAAAAGGTCAAAGAATTCTTTCAGAGTGGCTGTAATCACTGTTGGAACTTCTCCAAGTGTTAGAAGGGAAAAACTTTGCAAGTTGCATTACTGATCTATAATAGGTTGTAGTAAGTAGGCTTGATTTTCCTGGGAAACCTTCATCCCCAAGTGTTTTGGTTGAACCATTTTAAGCTGATTTGGAATGTTGGCTTGAAGTTTGCATAACCTTCCCTCATACTAGAAAATCATGGTAAGAGTTTCATAGTTCCAAAAAGCTTTTCAACCAATGTAGCCTTAAAATCATGTTGTAGGAATGCAGTTCTAGAATTTGAAGTCAAAAGTAAATTCCAGGCCTTGCATACACCATCTAAAGCCCTTCCACATCCCTTGCACTTTTAATTTCTAACCACCAGCAATCTCAACCTATGATTCACAGGTTTTATTTGGCTGCCACCCCATTTTTATTGCAAATCCCAGGTCTAAAAAGTCATGTGTACTTCCACTATCAATAAGGATTTGTAATTGCTTCCTACCACAGTACCCTACAACTCTCATTGAAGAAGCACGATCAACCCCTTCAATAGTATAATGAGATCTGAGGTGTTCTTTCCTCAATATTGTCATCCCTTTCTGGTTCCTCTATGAAAATCCGATCTTCAATATCCTTTAGAACTTCAATAAAGTGAAGTTATAATTTTTGTCTTTGAGGACATTTATGATCCTTTGAGAATTTCCCATGGCAATAAAAGGAGAGGTTTTTACTTCAGTATTCAGCTTCTTCTTTTGCAGAAAAAGTTTTGAAATATTACTAGTGTTCTTAGTGGAAGACGATGAAGGTTTAGAGGCTAAAGGAGTCATTTTCCCTTTACCTTGTGTCCCACCGCTTAACAAGGCATTTTTATAAGAATCCTACGTATGTTGAGCATTCTAAGATAACAAATTAGAAGGTGGCCACGTGCGAAGGAATCTTGCTACTCATCTTCTTCTCATTCTGTTGTTGTAGCGTGATTTCTTGCATTTGAGCCAAGGATCGAGCTTCTTGAAGTATGCATGGCTTGAAAGGTCTGATTGGCCTGTGTAATCTTCTGCCAACCCTTCCAATGCTTTGACTAGATAATCTTGTGGGAGGTCCATCTTGCAGGCTATGGTGTCGAAGGCATCATTGAAGTCCAACAAAGATCCTTGTTGACGAAGACGCATCAAATCAGCCATAGGAGTCTTGTGCATTGGACCAAATGCTCTTGCAAGGACTGGGCATATTGTTCCCAGGTAGGCTTGATGTCATCCCATAAGTTCTTGACTGTGATGTGCCATGACCAAGCTTTCTTGTCCAGATGAATGCTTGCCATGCGAATCTTGTCATCATCTAAGGTATTGTCAAGACTGAAGAATTCTTCACAGCATATGAGCCAACCCACCATGTCAGAGTGCAAGAATTTTAGGAATTCTGTCTTCATAAACAGCATCTACTCTGTAGTATGGCCCAGTGTCTTTGTTCCGACGCTCATCGTGCCTGTGTTCATGTCGACCTTGTGTGT